TCTCTGTTCATACACAGGGACATATGGCATGTGGGTTAGAAGGGTCACAGGCCAGCCAGGGCACATAAGGGGCTCAGAGCTATAAACCAACTCTGAGCTGAAGTGCCTGGTTGTCTAAGAGAGCTGGGCAATCTAGCACATCATAAAAGATAAATGCAAGCCTTCCCAGAGTTCAAAGACATTCCAGAGGAGCACGAACCAGATAACACTTTTAAAATCCATTTTTCCCCTATGTCTCATATCTTGGAATATGAGAGACTTACATACAAACCGGACATATGTTCGGATTGCCCACGAGAAGACAAACAGTTTGATAGGTCACACTCCCTAGCTGGAATACCTAGGAAAGCAGAAAAGTACATCTCTTGAACCATTCAGTGTATAATTTCATATCTAATCATTCCTCACATGAGTCTGCATATTAATGTACCCGGGCGGAGTGTTACTTATACCTAGGGAAAGTTATGAGCCAAAATATGAGCTCTGAAAGATTTTGGCTCTAGTTTAGGTCTACGCCCAAACAACCCCTACCTAATCGGGGCATTGGTCCTTGACTTCAGAGACATCCCTTGCTAGGGAACTACAAAATGGGCTGTCAGGCCTAAGGAAGTTAAGTTGAAGAATTCTCCCGTTTAAACATCAGAACCAACTTGGGAGACAGCCCTTTTGCTTTGAAACTTGATCTGCAAACTCAAGGCTGATTGGCAAGTACTTTAACCCTTTAACCTCCTGTTACCTCTTGGCTGTGCTGTTGTTCTCTGTATATTTATATATATATATTGGTTACATCTTTTTTCTGTAAATATTTTTATTGCACCCTTTTGACCTTTTAGTAATAAATCTTTCCTTCTGAAAGCGTTGAACTGTTTCTATAGCTCGTTAATGCAATTTACGAATTCCTAACTCTAAAAGAGCGCTACTGTGTTTGTTTAACCTTCTGTATAACCGGTCTACAGTGACAGTGTTATACAGACGATTATCTCAACCATTATAGTGTTATTGCTGAGATTGCGAGTTTCCTCTTTCTCTGTACAAAAAGGAGGTGGTGGCAGTGTGAAGGGTTAATTGTGTAATTAACCTGACCCAGTAACAAGCGCATTCAGGCTGACGGACATTGATTGGTGATCCATTAGCTGGAAAATCGTTGTGCAGGGTGCAGCTGGGTGTGGCATTGTTACGCACGTGACACCGCGGTTTTAGACTGGCTAGTCCTTCAGTCACGAGTTTGGTGAGAAGGTCAGGGGTCTGACGCTGTGTTCGTCACACCAAGCACATACCATCCCCCCAAAAAAATTATTGAGGCTTCCACATATACGCACGTACAAACTTAAAAACATGCGCTGGTGAGCCTACGCATGAAAACGCTGATTGCGATACATATGTCACATATCGCTGCGCACGCCAGAATGAGAGCAATAATTCTAGCACCAACCTCATCCGTAATGCTAAACTGATGACCTATAAGAAGCTTTAAAAGTGTCGATTTATAGAAAATAGAGGGTACTGAAGTTCGTCACCATTTCACGAGCGTGCACAAATTTAAGGTTTGACAAGTTGGATATCTACTTACTTGCTGCAACCTTATCTTTTATATTTTACAAAAAAATAGGGTTCTTTATTGCTTTTTGTGCCCTAAAATTATCTTACTTGTATTCTTTACTGAAATTTTGCGGTAATATCATGCGACATAAAAAATTGGATCTACCACTATTTTATTCTCTAGGATCTCTGCTTTCAGAAAATATAGAATGTTTTGGAGGTTTGTGTAATCTTCAGGCTTAAAATGATTTTTTAAACATGTGCATAAAATGCAAAAACAGCTCTGGCAGTGAAAGGGATAAAGGATAAGCCGACATTCCCCTTTCCTGACGAGCAGCCAATCGGTGCTCATTACACTGCAAGGTTTCTCCCCTCCCTGCTAGTCCCCGGGTGCGGTGCTGAGACAGGCAGGGAGGTGAGGAGGAGATAAACAGCGCAATGTTAAAAATATTAAACGTTTAAGTCGCCATAAAGCCCCTTTTGTTTTTAAAAGTCCCCCCGACATTCCTAACAGCACCTCAGATTTAAATACAGTTTTGGTTTAAATTTATTTTTCTTTATCTGGACAAGTAGATTGTCATGAGGGACAAGTAGATTAGAGCCCCGTTTTAGTCCCTGGACAAGTCGTTTTTTCAAAAATTTCCACACCCTTGCGGTATATACAGTTGTGACCAAAATTATTCAACCCCCAATGCTGTAAAGGGGTTTAGGGACTATAGTGTACATTTGGAATTGTATTCAGAATCAAATCCTACAAGGACGTTGTAACTACCCAAATGCAACTAAAATGACATCAATTGTTTATGTAATACAGTAGTAAATGGTTCTTATGTGGTTTCTTCATTGCCACAATTATTCAACCCCTTAAAGACTACCACTCTGAAGAACAGAGGTTCATACAGGTGCTTTCCATCAGGTATTGAAAACACCTGTGGATGTCACCGAGCAGCAATCAAGCATAATAAGCACCAATTAGGCAGCTTTAAAATGACTGTGATACTCAGCTCCTTCTAGACATTTACTGGTGTGGTTACAAACATGGTGAAGGCAAGAGAATGGTCCAGGAAGACAAGAGAAGAGGTGATTTCTCTTCACAGGAAGGGCAATGGCTATAAGAAAGATTGCAAAGATGTTAAACATACCAAGAGACACCTTAGGAAGCATCATTCGCAAATTCAAGGCAAAGGGCACTGTTGAAACGCTACCTGGTCGTGGCAGAAAGAAGATGCTGACTTCGACTGCTGTGCGCTACCTGAAGCGTAGAGTGGAGAGAAGTCCCCGTGTGACTGCTGAGGAACTGAGAAAAGATTTGTCAGATGTGGGTACAGAAGTTTCAGCCCAGACAATAAGACGCACACTGCGTAATGAAGGCCTCCGTGCCAGAACTCCCAGGCGTACCCCCTTGCTGTCTCCAAAGAATAAGAAGAGTCGACTGCAGTATGCCAAAAGCCATGTGGACAAACCACAAAAGTTGTGGGATAGTGTTCTGTGGACTGATGAAACAAAATTAGAACTGTTTGGGCCCATGGATCAACGCTATGTTTGGAGGAGGAAGAACAAGGCCTATGATGAAAAGAACACCTTGCCTACTGTGAAGCATGGTGGAGGGTCAATCATGCTTTGGGGCTGTTTTGCTTCTGCAGGTACAGGGAAGCTTCAGCGTGTGCAAGGTACCATGAATTCTCTTCAGTACCAGGAGATATTGGATGGAAACGTGATGCAGTCCGTCACACACCTGAGGCTTGGGAGACGTTGGACCTTTCAACAGGACAATGATCCCAAGCATACCTCCAAGTCCACTAGAGCATGGTTGCAGAGGAAAGGCTGGAACATTTTGGAGTGGCCATCGCAGTCACCAGACTTAAATCCGATTGAGAACCTCTGGTGGGACTTAAAGAAAGCAGTTGCAGTGCGCAAGCCTAAGAATGTGACTGAACTGGAGGCCTTTGCCCATGAAGAATGGGCGAAGATACCCGTAGATCGCTGCAAGACACTTGTGTCAAGCTATGCTTCACGTTTAAAAGCTGTTATAACTGTAAAAGGATGCTGTACTAAGTACTAAGATTGAATGTCACTTGGGGTTGAATAAAACTGATAATGCTGTGAGCACAGAAAAGACATTTGTGGTTATTTCATTATAACTGTTATGTTATATTTGTCTGACCTACAAGTGCCTCTTTAATGTAAATGTAAGCAAGATGACTGAATGATCAAAAGCAATGTCAAACTGGCCAAAACACTCAATTTCAGTGGGGGTTGAATAATTTTGGTCACAACTGTATACTGGGATTTTTTGTTTTTTATTTTTACTAGTAATGGTGGCGATCAGGGACTTATAGCGTGACTGTGGCGGGCATTGTGACACTGGGGGGAACTGACTCGGTGTCACTGACATCCCCAGTGACACCAATACCGTGAACAGTGCTAAACAAAAGCACTGACATTGTACTAATGGAACTGGGCAGGAAGGGGTTAACATGAAGGGCGATCAAAGGGTTAACTGTGTGCATTTTACTGGGGGGTGGTGTGTTTGTGATTCACTGTAAGCACACTTCTTTGCATGGCTGTGACATCAACACTACGTATTGCCTGACAAATTATTTTTTTAGATTGGTTCATGTGGGCCACGATTTTGACCAATGAACGAACGCCTCTCGGGCGTCGGATGACCGATCGGTCGATTTTCTAATTGTGTATTCCCGCCTTTAGACTGGCCATACATTGTACAATTCTCTTGAGAATTTTGCTTTAGATTTACCACAAACCATATAATATGAGGTCAGATCTAAACACTTTCAATTGTATCCAATTAGGAAATTGGACAGAAAATTGTATAGTGTATGGCCAGCCTTACACTGATCCAGTCTGGACCATCGGGTCTGGAAGGAGACCTGCAATTCAGCTCTAAAGGACCACAATACGTTTCTACTTTTTACAATTGTAGATTTCTGTACGATTATCCTGCATATACGATGGGGCCAGTGATAGAGGACTTCTCCTGAGCTCAGCTGTCCACACATGGACAATATACTACACCACCAGCATGGAACACCAGGAGCATGGGCAGAGTATGGGGGCGTTCAGAGTGGGGGAGGAACTTAATAAAGTAATCCCTGATTCCAAACAAGCATGCAGCAAAGTGAAGTCAGACCTCCTGCAGCTTGTCCCAGGTAGCAGAAGGTATTGCAGCCAGAGGTGTGACATCCAGGATCTTCTCTCTGTACTCCCTCCGGCGGCACATCCAGGATCTTCTCTCTGTACTCCTCCGGCGGCACATCCAGGATCTTCTCTCTGTACTCCTCCGGCAGCCTCCAGTATACTTTAATTCTGCATGCGAGTGGGCGTGGCCGGGAAGGCTGCTTTGTGAAGAGTGGGCGGGCCGTTCATGGGGAGATCCTGAGTGCAGTCATTGACCATTGGTTGAGATCTGGGGGGGGGGTGTGCCTCGTTACGCAGTGTCCGGCCTCTTCTGTATTGCAGCCCCCACCTGGTATAGAGCGGGCCCGGGACAGACTATGGCGGGCGGAGCGGCTCCGGTTGTGCTGAGCTCGGTGACCGTGTACTCCCTGGCGGCCTGTGCGGCGCAGCTGGCTGTGGGCTATGTACTGGCTCAGCGGCTGGGGAGGAGGAGCTCTACGTTGGACAGATGGGTGCTGGTCTGGCTCTTCTATGATGCTATCGTACATTTCACACTGGTGAGTGTCTGGACATAGGAGGGCTATAGACCCCGCCCACTGGGAGTGTCCGTACATGGGAGTGCTAGAGACCCTGCCCACTGGGAGTGTCCCTACATGGGAGCGTTAGAGACCCCGCCTACTGGGAGTGTCCGTACATGGGAGCGCTAGAGATCTCGCCCACTGAGAGTGTCAACATAGGAGTGCAAGAGATCCATGCGCTATTAATGTCTGGACATGGAGATCCCGCCCACTGATTGTGTCTGTACATGGGAGTACTAGAGACCCCACCCACTGGAAGTGCCTGTACATGGGAGCGCTAGAGACCCTGCCCACTGGGAGTGTCCTTACATGGGAGCGCTAGAGACCTTGCCCACTGGGTATATCCGTACATGGGAGCGCTAGAGACCTTGCCCACTGGGTATATCCGTACATGGGAGCGCTAGAGACCCTGCCCACTGGGTATATCCGTACATGGGAGCGCTAGAGACCCTGCCCACTGGCTATATCCATACATGGGAGCGCTAGAGACCCTGCCCACTGGGAGTGTCCTTACATGGGAGCGCTAGAGACCTTGCCCACTGGGTATATCCGTACATGGGAGCGCTAGAGAGACCCTGCCCACTGGGAGTGTCTGGACATGGAAGTGCTAGAGACCCTGCCCACTGGGAGTGTCCTTACATGGGAGCGCTAGAGACCCCGCCCACTGGGAGTGTCTTTACATGGGAGCGCTAGAGACCCTGCCCCCACTGGGAGTGTCTTTACATGGGAGCGCTAGAGACCTCGCCCACTGGGAGTGTCCGTACATGGGAGAGCTAGAGACCTCGCCCACTGGGAGTGTCCGAACATGGGAAAGCTAGAGACCTCGCTGGGTGTGTCCTACATGGGAGTGCTATAGACCTTGCCCACTGGGAGTGTCCGTACATGGGAGAGCTAGGACCTCGCCCACTGGGTGTCTGTACCTGGGAGTGCTAGAGACCTCGCCCACTGGGAGTGTCCGTACATGGGAGAGCTAGAGACCTCGCCCACTGGGAGTGTCTGTACCTGGGAGTGCTAGAGACCTCGCCCACTGGGAGTGTCTGTACATGGGAGTGCTAGAGACCCCGCCCACTGGGAGTGTCTGAGCGTCAGACCCCAGACCGTCTCACCAAACTCGTGACCAAAGGACTGGCCGCTCTAAAACCGCGATGTGATGCGCGTAACAATGCCACACTGAGCTGCGCCCTTCACAACGATGTCCAGCTAATGGATCGCAATCGACGCACCGGCAGCCTGAATGTGCTTGTTACTGGGTCGTGTTACTTACGCAACTAACCCTTCACTGCCACCACCCCTTTTTGTACAGAGAAAGGAGAAACTCTCTTTATGCAATATACACTGGAATGGTTGAAAAGTCGCCTGTCCAATACGGTCACCGCAGGCCGATTGGGTAGAGGATTAAACAAACACAGTAGCGTCTCTTCAAAAGGCAGGAATTCGTGAATTGCAAGTAAGCACTTAGAAACAGTTTAACACTTTCAGAAAGAAAGATTTATTACTAAAAGAGTCAAACAGGTGCAATAAAATATTTAGAGAAAAAGATGTAACTAAGATATATATTTATATATAAAAAAAATAGGAAACAGCCCAGCACAGCAAAGAGATAACAGGAAGAAGTTAAAAGGTTAAGTTACTTGCCATGTTAAGCCTTAAGGTAAGCAGATCCAAGTTGCAGAGCGGAAAGGGTCTTTGATCTCCTGCTGTTACGATGTTAAAATTAGGAGATCTCTTTAGCTTAATTCTTTAGGCTTGTCAGCCTGTCTTTTAAAGTCTCACTGGGGGGGGGGTGTGTCTCTGAATACTGGCCAATACGCTGTTTTGGGAGGGGTCAGTTGAATTAGAACCAACATCTGTCATAATCCATGACATGAAACATAGGGGAAAAACCTGACTTGAGGAATGTTCATTTCATTCTGTCACCTTTAACTGTTTTATGAGGTTACAATCTCTTTCAATTCCTGGGAGAAGCTGCCTTATCTGTTTTATGATGTGTGAGCCTACACAGGTTCTTAGACTGAGAGGCTCTGCCTCCATGGGGGGGCTTTGTAGCGCTGGGCCCCCTGCTGCTCCAGCCTGCCAGCAACTTTTAACACTTACACATCTGTCCCTGTGCCTCTCAGGAAGGGAGGGGAAGGAGAATAAAGGATTGAGGCATACTTCTAATAAAAAAGGGGAACTCCGCGTCCAACTCTGATGAGCAAGTTTGCTACACCGCCCACTGGGAGTGACTACATAGGAGTGCTAAAGACCCCACCCACTAGGAGTGTCTATACAAAGGAGCATTATAGACCCCTCCCACCAGAAGAGTCTATACAAAAGAGTGCTATAGAGCCTGCCCACTGGGAGTATCTGTACATAGGAGTATTGTAGATCCCGCCCATTGGGAGTGTCTGTACAAAGGAGTGCTATAGACCCCTCCCACTGGGAGTGTCTATACAAAGGAGTACCAGAGACCCTAAGTGTCAGAGAGTGACAGGTTCCATTGACCCAAGTCAATCAGCTGTAACAGAAAAGAGAACAATTGCACGGGGTTGATCAATGACATTTTTCACTCAATTATAAATGAAAAATACCATTAATGAACCCTGTACAGCCAATTTTTTTTTTCTGCCACAACCAATCGCCATGGGCTGACTGAAATTCTCACCATCTATTGCTCACCCGTGCCATTTGTGTCTCACTCGATCAATGTCTGATTCAATCATTTTGTAGAATCAGACATGGGTCTTTCAGTTTTATCACACAGTTTATGGCCTTTATTTTCACCTAGAAAGTATATAAACGAGCAGCGCTTGAAAACCTAAGATGCCAAGTAAAACACGTATGAAATATTACTAAATGAATAAATGAATTCAAGTGAGATATATCATCAAGGTGCTACAGTGCTATTATAGTCCTTGTGTGCATGAATTAATAAATGAATGTCCATAAAACTGGGACAATCTGCATTCAAGTGATCATCAATAATATGTAATGTGCTGATAGGGTATAAAAAATAAATTAATCCGGTATCCAAAAAATAAATACATATTGCACAAAAAATACTCTGTGTAAAATCCAAGAGTCCAAAAAAGTCACACTTTCACCCTTGAAAGCAAATTATATTATACAAAAACCTTTTTTGTGTCAGTCAATGTATGAAAACCAGAATTAAAGTCCAAATAAATTAATCCTCCCTGTCCAACTTCAACATCCCCATAAATCCAAATAAGGTGTGTACCTCAAAAAATGGAAAAACTAAATAGTGCAGCCCGGAAAAGGAATCTCCCTCCTCTGGATTCTAAGCAGCCCTGCAGTTGTCTTCCATATGTGTAAGGTGTATTTTTGCCAGAGGTCCCCTTTAGGTGGAACGGATGATGCAGCCTGGAAAGGAATCTCCCTCCTCTGGATCCTAAGCAGCCCTGCAGTTGTCTTCCACATTAGGCTCTGCGGATCCGGTTCTCTCGAAAATATTACCGGCCAAGCCTGAGATTACATTCCGTAAAGCAACTGCACTCAGGAATCAGCCCCGAATGTGGTCAATCCACCAACAACCAATTTTTTTTCTGAATTAAAATGTTTTTTTCCATGTAATATATGCATGATATGCTAGTGCGATAATGAAAGGGAAAAGAAAACGGATACATTCACAGCCTCTGTTACTGGTAGATCTTACAATATCCAAAATGTTATATCTTTTAACAGTCGATTTGTTGTCTACCTAAAGGGGACCTCTGGCAGAAATATAGCTTACACATATGGAAGACAGCTGCAGGGCTGCTTAGCATCCAGAGGAGGGAGATTCCTTTCCAGGCTGCATTATCCGTTCCACCTTTAAGGGGACCTCTGGCTGAAACATATCTTATACATATATGCGTATCTAAAATACGCAACTGGTGAGTGCATATTTTTACTATATCCTTGGCACATCACCGAATATCATCACCGAATACCCTATCAGCACATTGCATATTATTGATGATCACCTGAATGCAGATTGTCACAGTTTTATGGACATTTATTTATTTATTCACGCACAAAAGGACTATAATAGCACGGTAGCACCTTGATGATATATCTCACTAGAATTAATTTATTTATTTAGCAATATTTTATATGTGTTTTACTTGGCATCTTAGACAGGTTTTCCAGCGCTGCACATTTATATACTTTCTATGTCTTTTGAAGGTTTTTTTTTTGGTTACCTTTTATGTGCAATAGCAGCTATTTTTTAAGTACTCGCTGATTTATATACATTTTATTTTCACCTGATGATCCTGCCAGTAACACACTTCCTGTACTAGGGTGACAACAGTCACTGACTGTACTGTGTCAGGACAACAGAGACAGAATAGGACTGCAGAACTACACCCCCTCCGAATCTCCATAACATACAGATAGATGGGAACAAATATCACAGGAAGTTATCAGCTCAAATTTCTGGCAGGATCAACCTGTATTTCTTTGCACTCATCCAACAGATATAACAAAATGCTTTCTTTGGAATATTTAACCATTTGACATCCTTAGGTTGTTTATTACATTACATTACATTACATTACATTGAGTTTATATAGCGCCAAAGGGTTTGCTCAGCGCTGTACAATAGAGGGGGGGACAATACATGAAACATTACAGCAACTACAAACGGCACACGAGGGGTTATAGGGCCCTACTCTTTCGAGCTTACAATCTAGGAGGGAGGGGGTAGTGGTACAGGAGGAGGAAGTGGCTGTGGGGGATGGAGTGGTAGGAGGAATGAAGGAGAGCAGCAGTTAGGTGAGGGTGGGGTAGGCTTCCCTGAAGAGGTGGGTTTTCAGGGAGCGCCTGAAGGTGAGGAGGGAAGGTGACAGTCTGATGGATTGGGGTAGTGAGTTCCAGAGGATGGGGGAGGACCTGGAGAAGTCTTGCAGACGTGCATGTGAGGAGGAGACGAGGGAGCAAGATAGAAGGAGGTCCTGTGAAGAGCGAAAGGTACGGGTAGGGTGGTACTTGGGAATCAGGTCGGTGAGGTAGTTAGGGGCAGTGTTGTGAATGGCTTTGTAGGTCAGAGTGAGTAGTTTGAATTTGATGCGTTGGGCGATAGGGAGCCAGTGGAGGGAGAGGCAGAGGGGGGTGGCAGAGGTGGAGCGGGTGGTGAGGTGGATGAGTCTAGCCGCTGAGTTGAGGATGGTCTGAAGCGGGGAGAGCCTGCACTGGGGTAGGCCGGTGAGGAGGGAGTTGCAGTAGTCAAGGCGTGAGATAATCAGGGAGTGCACAAGTAGTTTAGTGGTGTCTGGGGTAAGGAAGGAGCGTATTTTGGCGATATTGCGGAGGTGGAGTCTGCATGTGTTTGTGAGTGATTTGACATGAGGTTGGAAGGAGAGGTTAGAGTCCAGAATGACTCCAAGGACTTTGGCTTGCGGGGCGGGATTGATGGTGGTGATGTTAGTAGTGATGGATAGGATGGGGGGGGGCGCGGGCAGGAGGGAAGACGAGAAGCTTTTGTTTATTAAATAATAAACAACTTCTCCTGTAAAGAGGAGAAGCTATGATGTCACCGTCACTGCTATTTAACAGTTCATAATGCTGGGGACGTGACATGAGCTTCCTGGTCATGTGATCACATGTGTGGGATCCCACTGTGCTGTCAGCATTAAGGGGATAACCTCCTGGTACTTTGGCACGACTACTTTCATTCAATTCATTTTTTTTTTGCTTGCTTACACCAGGGCTCGACAAATCCTAGGCACCAGGTTGTCATGGTAACTAGAACTTGTGTCCTGGTGCCTGGACTTTTGTCAGCCGTCCGCTGTCAGGCATCGGGACAGTTTCACAGATCCAGGGATTCTTAATCTCAGTGGCTTAATCTCCTATCTGTACCTCTCAGCATATGGACAAGCGGCATTCTAATTGGGCAGCAACGTCTCATGTACAGTGCTGACCAATCAGAATCCGTCTAGCCCATCCTGTCAATGCTGGGAAAAGAGGTGAGAAAGCCATGGGGATTTCAAATCCCCGAACCAGTGAAGCGGCATCCCGGTGTCTTTCTTTCCTTTCTTTTCGTTCTTTTGTTTGTTCTTTCAAAGAACTGTCTCCTAACTTTTTTAGCTGGCTTACACCTTATCAAATGAGTGAAGGGGCTTGTAAGATGTCCACGGCTCTGCCCGCTGTGACTCCCTACACCTGCAGCCTTCTGGGATATCTGATGTGGAATCCCAACAGGCTGAGGCAGCAGGGAGAGACGGCCAGGCAGAACTGGTGGGTGGGGTCAGGCCTAAAATTTAAAGAAAAACAGGCAAAAAAAAATATTAATTTAAATTGTGGAAGGTAGCAGGATGGTGTCAGTGCACAGATCCTTAGTTGATTTGGGGGGTGAAGGTCCACTTTAACCGATTCCCGACCGCCCTAAAGCAGAAATACTGCTACAGGGCGGCACAGGAGCAGAGCAGTGTGATTACAGTGAAGCACCAACACACCACACCATAGTAAAACACTCCCAGCACACAGTTAACCCTTAACCCTTTGCCCTTCATGTTAACCCCTTCCTGCCCAGTGTAATTAGTACAGTGTCAGTGCTTTTTTTTTTTTAGCACTGATCACTGTATTGGTGCCACTGGGGATGTCAGTGACATCAAGTCAGTTCCCCCCCCCCCAGTGTCAGAATGTCTGCCGCAGTCCCTCTATAAGTTGCTGATCGCCACCATTACTAGTAAAAAAAAAAAAAAAAAAAAAATCCCAGTATCTATACCGCCATTTGTAAATACTATAACTTTCACATAAACCAATTAATTTACACGTATTGGGATTTTTTTTCAGCAAAGACATGTAGCAGAATACATTTTGGCCTAAATTTATGACGAAATTTGATTTGTTTTTTTTAGCTTTTTTACTGGACATGTTTAATAGCAAAAAGTAAAAAATTTTTTTTTTTTCTCAAAATTGTCAGTCTTTTTTTTCATAGTGAAAAAAATAAAGAACCGCACAGGTGATCAAATACCACCAAAAGAAAGCACAATTTGTGGGGAAAAAAGGATGTAAATTTAATTTGGTTGCAGTGTTGCATGACCGTGCAATTGTCAGTTAAAGTAACGCAGTGCCATAACGCAAAAAATGGCCTGGTCAGGAAGAGGGGTAAATCCTCAGGAGGGCAAGTGGTTAAAGCAAAACTCTGGAAAATAGTTTTTTTTTCCCCATGCAGTAGGGCTGTGCCCACACTGCATGAGTTAACAGCTCATTTTGTCCAGGGTCTCACAGAAAGGCTATACTCGCCCGATCCTTCAATCCTCCGGAAAACAGCGCTTCCCCCACATCCAGTGGTGGACTGTTCCTGCTTACGTCACGTCCAGAGCCGGTCTATGGGTGTGATGACATCAGGAACAGTCCACCTCCCGAGACCGCTAGACGTGGGGGGGGGGGGTTGGGCAGTAGCGGCAGGGACTGGTCTTGTACTTGGAGGAGCTGCAAATTAGGTGAGTATATCTCCATTCTCCTCACCCCTAAACAACAAGGAGCAGTTAACACATGTGGTGCGGATTAAAACCATTTTTTCCTGGAATTGGTGTTTAACACCTAGCCACTGAATACTGTATATGCTTAGCTGTCTTGATCTCCTTCTATTGGTGCCCCAAGAACTGTGACCGACAGTTCTCAGTCATCTACAGATGATCAGGAGCTGGTCAGATGGCTTCTGATAATGTCTGCGCTGTGTAGCCAATCACAATCAGGAGCCCCTCTTATCGGCCCATTTACAGTGCAGGTTCCAGCCACGATAAAGGGGTTAACCACTTCCCGTCCATCTCATGTAGATAAATGGCTGGAACGCTGCTGAAGTGGGTGGACGTTTCTAAACCCCCCGCATCCATTGCCTGTTCGCACTCCCTGGGAGCTCGTGGCATGATCGGTGCCTACTGTGTCCTCCTGACACAGCGGAACATAGATCGCTGTATAGGACCTCTGTGTGAGGTCCCGTTTCATGTGATCACTGACTGGCCAATCAGTGATCACGTGAATAATAGTAAACAAGATGTCACTTCCTGACATCATTGATTACTACTAGGATGTCACTTCTGACATCATTGCTTACTACTAGTGAAATCTGTGAATGATCAGTGGCAGTGCAGGGTCGGGTGGCTGTTTATAAATGGCCTCCCCGCCCCCCTGCCAGGCAGCGCGCAGCACCGCGATCCGGTGCCCACTGTGTCCTGTGTGACACAGTGGAACGCCAATCGTCGTACGGGACCTCTGTGCGAGGTCCTGATCATGTGATCACTGATTGGCCAATCAGTGATCACATGCAGAGTAGTAAGCAGGATGTCACTTCTGACATCATTGCTTACTACTAGTGAAATCTGTGAATGATCACAGAGGTCACATGGTACGAGGCTATTCACAACAGCCTTGTACCATGTGACAAGCTGTGACCAATCACAGCTCTCACAGTATTTCTCAATGACTGCAGGAATGCAGCCAGAGAGAAGGAGAAATGATTGCTTTTACAGCCTTTATGGGTGTAAAAGCAATTGGTGTGAAAAAAAAAAAAAAATCTTCACCACCCCCCCACAAAGTAGTACAGTGTCACTATGGTGACACTGTACTGCTAGGGTGACAGTATGTTAAAAAAACAACAATATAAACAAAAATGTAAAAAAATTTTTTTTTTTAATAATAATAATAATAATAATAATAATAATAATTTTTTGGTTATAAACTAATTTGGGTTATTTGTTTTTTTACTAAAAATATAACCAAATAAATTTTGGCCAAGATTTATGAAGAAAGATTATTTATTTGCAAAATTTAATAAGAAAAACCCCTTTTTTCAAAATTTTTGGACTTTTTCATTTATATAGCAAAAAAATAAAACATACCAGTGGTGAATAAATACCACCAAAATAAAGTTTTATCTGTCTCAAAAAAATGCTAAAAAATTCATATGGGTACAGTGTTGCATGACTGTGCAATTGTCATTCAAAGTGTGATAGCGCTGAAAGCTGAAAATTGGCCTGGACAGGAAGGGGGTAAAAGTGTCCGGACATGAAGTAGTTAACAAAGGGAAATGTTCTTAAAGATTGATGGCATCACTTATCTCTAATATACATTCTAATCAGTTTGATGTGTGTTGTTTGTAGGAGGGACCTTTTGTTTACATGTCTCTAGTGGGAACAGTGGCCACATCAGAGGGAGCGTTGGCGACACTGTGTAAGTATGGTTCTTATGTATACAGGGTGTGGAAATTTAAAAAATAACTACTTGCCCAAGGGACTGAATTGGTGTCCCAATCTACTTGTCCCTCATGACAATCTACTTGTCCTGATAAAAAGAAAATATTTTTTTCCCCAGAATGGAAAATATGAAGGGTTGATGTTTCTTATTAGGCAGAGGTGATTTTCGGAATGTCTGGGGCTTTTAAAAACGAAAACGGGCTTTATGGTGACTTAAACTTTTAATGTTTTTTTAGTTTTTACAGAAAATTTCTTAGAACCCCCAAACGTTATATACGCACCACTGCCTAACAGTGAGAAGGTCCTAATGGAGAATTTTTTTAAATACCAGTAGTGGATATACTGCACAGGGCAGAATTCAGGAGAGCACTGCGTGCAGGGTTCAGGAATGCACTGCATACAGAGGGAGGAGAGTTCAGGGTGAATGCACTGCATACAGTACAGAGACAAGAGTTCAGGAGAGAACTGCATACAGGGTGCAGGGTTCAGGAATGCACTGCATACAGAGCGAAGAGTTCAGGAGAGCACTGTGTACAGGGTGCAGGGTTCAGGAATGCACTGCATACAGAGGGAAAAATTCAGGAGAGCACTGCGTACAGGGTGCAGGGTTCAGGAATGCACTGCATACAGAGTGAAGAGTTCAGGAGAGCACTGTGTACAGGGTGCAGGGTTCAGGAATGCACTGCATGCAGTACAGAGACGAGTTCAGGAGAGAACTGCATACAGGGTGCAGGGTTCAGGAATGCAGTGCATACAGAGTGAAGAGTTCAGGAGAGCACTGCGTGCAGGGTTCTGGAATGAACTGCATACAGAGTGAAGAGTTCAGGAGAGCACTGCGTGCAGGGTGCAGGGTTCAGGAATGCACTGCATACAGAGTGAAGAGTTCAGGAGAGCACTGCGTGCAGGGTTCAGGAATGAACTGCATACAGAGTGAAGAGTTCAGGAGAGCACTGCGTGCAGGGTTCAGGAATGCACTGCATACAGTACAGAGACGAGTTAAGGAGAGAACTGCATACAGGGTGCAGGATTCAGGAATGCACTGCATACAGAGTGAAGAGTTCAGGAGAGCACTGCGTGCAGGGTGCAGGGTTCAGGAATGCACTGCATACAGAGTGAAGAGTTCAGGAGAGCACTGCGTACAGGGTACAGGGCTCAGTAATGCATAGGCCAGTTTACAACCCCCTCTTCTAGCACAGGACCCACCCCCAATCCTCTCTCCCCCACCTACAGAGTATCAGAGAGAGGGGCCGCTGCAGAAGAGAAGCAACAATTCACAGTAGGAGTGCAATGTTAAGTGGGGAGAGGGGGCATTAGTGCTAAGGGATGATAGGGGATGACATTGGTGCCAAGTTAATGAGGCATTGGTGCTAAATGGGGGGAGGGGCAATATGCTAATTTCTAATGTGGGGCGGGGGGGGCATTGAGGATTAGGGAGGGGGAGGAGAAACATTGGGGATAAGTAGAAGAGGGGTACATTTGTGATAAGTGGGGAAGAGGGAGGGCATTAGGGATAAGTGGGGGAGAGAAGGGACATTGGGAATAAGTGGGTGAGAGGTGGACTTTTGGGAGAAGAGGGGGGACACTGGGGATAAGTGTGGGGGGGAGCATAGGGGTTTAGTGGAGGGGGGGGGGGAAAATTGGAGATAAATGGGGGAGAAGGGGACATTTGGGATAGGTAGGGGGGGGATAATTGGGATAACTGGGGGGAGGAGGGGGACATTATGGATAGGTGGGAGAGGAGAGTAGAGACATTGTGGATAAGTGAGGGGGAGAGAGAGGACATTTGGGATAAGTGGGAGAAGAGGGGGGACACTTGGGATAAGTGGGGGGGAGCGCGCTGTGCAGCACAGTCCCAGCACAAAAACAGTTCTGCAAATATTCGGCCCCACGGAAAAAAGCCCAGTTCTGTGAGGCCGCATATTTGTGATGATGCCGGCGTCAAGGCGTTAAGGGATGTTTGATAGGAGTCCATGTACTGTGTTCTCGCTCAGAACGGCAACCACACTGAAGGAAACACCACTCCCCCGCCCTCTCCTCTGCTGTCATGTGCTGAGCAGTGAGGGTTATGTGCTGCCGGACTAGCAGTCAGGCTTCTCTGTCTTCAGCTTCTGCCGGCACCGGAGTAGCCCGCAGCAGGGCTAAATGTAGGAAAAAACCTCTTGCCCGGCGCCCGGAACTGCATATCCCGGGCATCAGGCGATAGGAATTAAACATCCCTGTGTATATATTTATCTTAGGTATTTATACTGCAACAACAATGTACACAGTGCTTTACATACTATACTGTTTTATCATGGTTACATGATAGTTTATGTTCTTGGGGTATCATGTACATTCACAACTACGCCGAATGCGCACGTTTTAAAATAAATATATGTATTGATTGGTATATCCTTTATATAGCGCTAAATATTTGATTAAAAAAAAATAATTTTCTGCGCCCTTCTGGTTTTGACTTTGGACTTTGTTCCACTTGAATAAAAGGGTTACAGCAAAACAGTTACTTACAGGCCACTTTTCTGTTATGTTAATTGGATTAAATTAGTGAAATCACTCCAATAGGAGAAATCTAGAGGAGACCTGAACCATGGAGGTACTGCTTTTTTTAATTGCAGAACTCCCTTCTAAAAACCTCATTTGTTGCCATCATGCTGATCTAATGGCTTCAGTGCTATTGGAGTGTCTATGATGATTAGGGTGCTGCACTTGTTCCAGGTCAGTGACTCGGAACGTGTTAAATACACTGAATCAGCATGGCAGCCAGATAGCTAGCAATTACATTTGGTGTTAAGCATTGGCAGCCTTTTTCATTTTAAGCGGAGTCTTTCCTAATCTTTTGGTTGTACTTTATGTTCCTTCTAGATGTTCTATGACGTTCTCTCCTTCTTTTCCAGGGAAGGAATATGGGAAAGCAGATGAGCGCTGGCTGCACTCCGACCCCACTATTGTATCTCTGGAAATCCTCACTGTAGTTGTGGACGGTTTGTTGGCTCTAGCATTGATTTATGCCATTGTGAAGGATAAGTATTACAGGTAAGTGTCGATTACTATACCAACAATGCAGTTTTCTGTATTACTCTTCCCAGTCACAGCCCTTGGGTCGTCTCTGGTGTTGACAGGTCATATGAAGCAGATAACCAGCTTGATATTCAGGACTCCTAAACAGGTCTGAGCATAAGGTTGCTTTGCCATGACACAAGCAAAGATCATGGCATATCCAAAATGGCAACTTGAATTATAGATCAAGTTCCAAAGTGCTGAAAGGGTTCAGGAGGAAAATGCCGCCAAGCCACTGTCGCAGTGCACTGAGCAGAATTGACTTTTGCTAGCTGGTGATACCCTTTTTCTGTAAAATATATATATGGTTTGGTTTTTTTATGGTACAGAGTGCGGTGTTCAGACCTAGAAAAGGAATTTTAAAACAACCAACCATATCTTCTCCCATCCAGTTTATAACCTGTGGTATACCCTATGTATATAACTTTCTTTTCTTTTTGACATGCGTTGCCCAGCCATGTGTTCCTAGCCGTAAAAGCCAGTTATAGACCGGGGCAGTGGCCATTTTTTTATACCCGATGTAGATCTTCACTCACCTAAATTATATGACAGAATGTGGTGTTCACAAATTTTTAAAAATCTGAAATTTTAAAACAACCAACATGCCTTCTCTGTTCTAGCTTCCAACCTCTCCTATACCCCATGCAAATCCCCACTCACTAGGCAAAAGGTCATATTAATGTGAAACACAGCTCCTGGTCGGTCCACGGCCAGCTTGCCTCAAAGTAAACCAGGTACCAGTCCAGCTCATCACTGCAGTACTGTGAGACAATGGTAATGGATGACCACGGGCTGGGAAACGTCAAATTTATTCCATCAATATCAAAGGTAAAAACACATCCACCATACAAAAAGAGAGGAGAGATGTGTTTCAGGCCAATAGGAGCTTACTCATAGCTATGTCATGCTATGTATAAGCACCTGTTGGCATGAAATACATCAGCAGTTCCTCCTCTTTTGTATGGTGGATGCGTTTTTTACCTTTTTCATTGATGGAATAAAGAAGTTGGCAATTACCAGTGTGCTGTTATTCATTACGATTGTCTCACTATCTAAGGCACTAAACACAACAAAAAACAACCTTCTAAACAAATGCACCTGAAGAATAAATGAGGTTCTTTTTTTTGGTGTAATACATTGATGGCCCCCTGTCTGCACATACATTGGGGCTGGTTTGTTCTTTAGTATTTTGGAGGACATACAGTGCTCACAACTAGGAAGAGTCCAACTTTCAGACGTGCCAGACATAATTTAAAAAAAAAAAAAAGAAATGCCTTTAAATGATAGTTTCATATGGTAAGCGTAATGACAGGTTAATTTTAAAGCTGAACTCTGGGAATTAGGCAAAATGTACAAAGTGGGAGCCCACTGCAAGGGATAAATGCTTGTTATGTCTAGGAGTGCCAGAATAATGAGTGATACTTGCCTTACTGACCGCTCCTGCAGGCTCCTCGATGTGTGTGACCAGGCCTGTGCTGCCTCTTCTCTTAGGCACTTGGGGCCCAGTTGCACTGCCCATCTTCACGTACTTTTCAGGGTTAATATACCTGCACTGTGTGTGATGATACTCCAGAGGTTGGAGCTTTGGGGACAATAGGAGTGCCAGGGGTTAAGGTAAGTAATCCTGCCTGTGACCATATTTAGCTTCAAGTGCCCATCCGACCTGCCGCAGTGCCCACTATCAGTGTTAATTCTGTCTACGAAATGAACACTGTTTTAGTCAACTAATATACAACTAAAACAATTCAGATTACTAAAATACGACCAAAACTAAAATGGCATTTAAGTCAAAAGACCGTGTCTAAAACTAAATCATCATTTGACAGCAAAATGAACACAGGTTATTAATCACAACGGCTAATTTTGTGTCTGTAGTGCATGTTCAAACCTCAGTACCATAATAACATGTTATTAGATTTTTACTCCAGGAGTATATAATGAGTTTGGAAATGCTGGAGAAATGCTTAACCGCTTTCCCGCCGCCCTACAACAGAAATACTGCTACAGGGCGGCAGGGGTGCACTAAATCACATATATACATACGTGATTTTGCATTTCCAGGTAACCGTACCACCGTTCGCGGCCTGGGCTGTCAATCACTGGGTCCTGGCCAGTGATTAATTTCTGGCACCTGGTGATTGCCGAGCATTACCGACGGGGGAGAGAACTGTATGTAAACAATACAGTTCTTTCCCTTGTCAGCTCCAGCACACTGCTTTGCATGGAGCCATACAAAGCAGTGTGCTTACAGTGGAAAGCACAGACTCAGCCTCATAGTAAAACACACACAGCATAGAGTTAACCCTTTGATTGCCCCAGATGTTAACCCCTTCCTGCACAGTGCCATTAGTATAGCATCAGTGCTTTTTAGTAGCACTGATCACTGTATTGGTGTCACTGGGGATGTCAGTGACACCAAGTCAGTTCCCCCCCAGTGTCAGAATGCCCAACGCAGTTCCGCTATAAGTCGCTGATCGCTGCCATTACTAGTAAGAAAAAGAAAAAAAATTCCATTATATATATACCACCATTTGTAAACGCTATAACCTTCATGTAAACCAATTAATTTACACGTATTGGGATTTTGTTTTAGCAAAGACATGTAGCAGAATACATTTTGGCCTAAATTATGACAAAATTAGATTTTTTAAATTCTATTTATTGGACATGTTTAATAGCAAATAGTTAATAATCTTGTTTTATTTTCTCAAAATTGTTGGTCTTTTTTTTATAGCGCAAAAAATAAAAAAATGCACAGGCAGTCAAATACCACCAAAAGAAAGCTCTATTTGTGGGAAAAAAGGATGTAAATTTCATTTGGGTGAAGTGTTGCATGACCACGCAATTGTCCGTTAAAGTAACGCCACGCTGTAATGCAAAAAAAGGCCTGGTCAGGAAGGGGGGTAAATCCTCTGGAGGGCAAGGGGTTAAATAATGCATTACAATTGAACTAAACCCATTAGATTTTTGTTGTCTAAATTTATTTTGTTCGACTAAAATGTACTTGAGATTTTAGTCGAATAAAATGTACTGGATATATTAGTCAATTAACATGTACTGGAGATATTCGTCGACTAAAATGAGACTAAAACCAAAACAATTCAGATGACTAAAAGTAAAATGGCAGTTAGGTCAAAAGACTATGACTAAAACTAAATTAAAATTTGATGTCAAAATGAACAGGTTATTAATCACAATGGCTAATTTTGTGTCTGTAGTGCATGTTCAAACCTTAATACCATAATAACATGTTATTAGATTTTTACTCCAGGAGTATATAATAAGTTTGGAAATGCTGGAGAAGTGCTTAAATAATGCAATAGTGAAATTTGACATCAAAATTAACAATGTCCACTACTTTTAGGTGCTGACATCTGAAATGTTGATCCTAGCTTGCTGTGCAAAATGTAACTCGGCAATGCCACTCTCTTAAGCATAGTTATGTTGATAAATGTAAGGTTCTGCACTTGGGGGCTAAGAATATGCATGCATCATACATACTAGGGGGTACAACTGGGGGAATCAATGGTGAAGGATCTGGGGGTTCTGGTAGATCACAAGCTTAATAATGGCATGCAATGCCAAGCTGCGGTTTCTAAATTGAGCAAAATCCTCTCCTGTATTAAGAGGTATAGACTCCAGAGAGAGATATCATATTACCCCGGTACAAATCATTAGTAAGACCTCATCTGGAATATACAGTTCAGTTTTGGGCACCAATTCACAAAAAGAACATTGGGGAACTGGAGAAAGTACAGAGAAGGGCAACCAAACTGATAAGAGGCATGGAGGAGCTTAGCTATGAGGAAAGATTAGAGGAACTGAATTTATTCTCTCTTGAGAAGAGGAGATTAAGAGGGGATATGATCAACATGTATAAATACATCAGTGGTTCATATAGTGAACTCGGTGTAGAGTTATTCACCCTGAGGTCATCACAGAGGACAAGGGGGCACTCTTTATGTCTGGAGGAAAAGTAATTTAATCTCCAAACTTGGAAAGGTTTCTTCACAGTGAGAGATGTGAAAATGTGGAATAGACTCCCTCAAGAGTTGGTTCTGACCAGCTCAGTAGATTGCTTTAAAAAAAAACCTGGATTGTTTCTTAGATACACAGAATATAACTGGATACTAACATTTATAGGTAAAGTTGATCCAGGGAATATCCGATTGCCTCTCGGGGGATCAGGAAGGAATTTTTTCCCCTGCAGGAGCAAATTGGATCATGCTTTGCTGTTTTTTTTGTCTTCCTCTGGATCAACTGTGGGTGTAGGATTATAACTTTTTTTTTTTTTTTTTTTATGGTTGAACTGGATGGACTTTTGTCTTTTTTCAGCCAGACAAACTATGTTATAGTTAAACTCTGAGGGCGGGGCAAAATGTATCAGAAAGCTAGGCCTGGGTGGTGCTTGGGCTGAGACTGACCAATCCAGTACACAGGCTGCTTAGGAGTGCAGTGTCTCTGAGTTACACTTTGCACAGCAAGTAATCTTGCCTGTTCATCTCCGCCATGGACGTTATGAGCATTTAACCTTTACAGTGTAGCGTGCATTTTGCCTAATTCCCAGAGTTCAGCCTTGGTGGTTGCTGTGAGATAATTAGTTACAGTTCAATCCCACCAACTCAAGTATTTGAATGAAATAAAGTGATGAATGTTTCAGTGAGTGCACATTTATTGAAACGTTTACCTGGCAATAACTTATAATGTGACTTATTAGTGTTTGTGGTGTAGTTGTATTGTTGTATTTCATAGCCAGACAAATATATGTATTGCTGTTGCTGAATTACCGCCATTCTGACCATAACTTGTATTGTTGTATCTCAGTAGATGAATTGATTTGTAGTGAGAGACCGTGTGCTGCATTACTTACCAGGATGCTCAGCTTCTATAGGCAACAAGAACCTGAATACATGTAGAAAAGTAAAACAAAATAAAATGTTTTATTTTAAGGGTCAGTTCACACCACAAAAACGCATTCCGGATACATTTTTGCTTACAGCTCACACCACACTCTGTTCCGGTGCAATTTTGATGCAGTTTGCCATGTTCTAGAACAGTTCTGTGCAGAAAAAATGCAGCATGTTCTACTTTTTTTGTGCACTGGATCCTGACTGGAACTGACTGCACTTGTGTGTGAACTAGGGCCATTGGAATACATGGAAAACACTGTGCATATATATTTTATGCAAAAAAAAAGCAAACTCACTGGACTGCATCTGATGTGGACTGGCCCTAAAAACATTAAAGTGTTACTAAACCCAGGACCCTGCATTCATTATATCTGGTCTCCCACAGTTCACAGAACATGGCATGGACATGCAATTATTTTAGTAAACTGCTAAATACCTTTTCTCATCAGCAGTTAGAGCAGTCTTGTGACTTCTATCAGTGTTCAGCAGAGCACTTGTTAAAGCTTGTGGGAGGAGTTTTATTTCTGCTCTAGGAGGATGCAAAACCCCTGACCTCTATCTGGACAGTGCTAATTGGCCCTGTGCTGATCACATGCACTCTCCCAAGATAAAAAACCCTGTCTAGCAATACACACTAAACTGAGCATGTGCAGAATTGCTACGAGTTCAATCTGTCTTATCAGGAGATAAGACGTAGACATTTGAACAAGAGGAGGAGCAGAGAAGACAGGATCAAACATCCTTTTTACACAATGCAGAGGATTAATCCCTTAGGTTTACCGCTGAGTATAACAATCATGCTTTACTGCACATACAGACTGATTTTACTGTTGTGGCTTTAGTAACACTTCAATTTATAATAATATGGGTAAATGTAATGTACCTGATGTAGTTAGCCGAATCTTTTTGGGGAAAGACTGCTTTTGTGAATAGTGTATGGCATGGATATGTCTTAGAATTTCTTTCTTTCTTTGGTGTTTCAGGCACTTTCTACAAATCACACTTTGTGTATGTGAACTGTATGGAGGATGGATGACGTTTTGTCCAGAGTGGCTAACTGGTAGCCCCGGCCTTAACACCTCCAACTGGCTCTATCTCTGGGTCTACTTGGTGTTCTTCAATGGTCTATGGGTACTTATCCCTGGCCTATTGCTGTGGCAGTCCTGGCTGGAGCTGAAGAAACTTCATAGTGGCAAAAGAAACCCTGGAAAGAAGTCTCGATAAAAAATACATCATGCTATTCATGTGATGGGTGTTAATGAGTTAAAATATTACAAGGAAATAATTATTATGTTCAGTAATTGAAGTAATTTTTATATTTTTTTTAAAACCATTTACAAATGTCTTGGTATTCAGTGGTATTTATTTATACCAATTGTTTCCTTTACAAAACAGGCCACAGTACATTGCTAAGTAAGATAGTGACAAAACAAGATAGAAGCCTAAGTAGCAAAAATAGTTTCTTCAAAAGATTCCTAGACTTAAACTGCTATGAGAACCAGACAGTGACACATAAAAAGTTTACAGATCTAATTCTGTATATACAGTAGTATGAAAGTCAGATTGTCATTAGCTTTTGTTCTGGGTAACTCTGCCTCTAATCCTAATGCTGATGCTAACATGAACTGTTAGACGGGGTCCATTTGGTTTTGTTGCAGGCTAGCTGGTCAGTGAGCTGGGAATGTGTGTTTGTCTTTGATGTGCATTGTCCTTCAATGTACTCCTTGCTGCAAAGGCTAGCTATGGGTTGGGGTGGTTTCAGTTTGTTTGTATAGTTGGTGAATTGGTGACGGGACATACTGGATACCTTCGCTGCCATTGTGCCCTTGCTGGGTGTCCAGTGCGTCCTTGTACCTTTTAAGGAGGGGTGGGCTCCCTCCAGGCCATCCTACCCTTAAAGGATAAGTTCTCCTTTGGGAACAGGTTACATCTTCCACCTGCTGTTAGGGTGGAACATGTAAGATGTTCCTGCTGCTGCGCAACCCCCCCTTCCTCCCTGTGACAGCAGTACGGGAAGAAGTTCTTGCTGTCAGTTTTGCGGCTGTCGGCTTGTAGTTCTCAATAAACTACCATGGCACTGTTGAGCGATCTGGTAGTTCATTGAGTCTTCGTGTCAAATTGTATCTGCTTGCCGGTATGTATCCTGGATGTACAGGCACACAAATACAATGACAGCTTGCAGGAGTCCTGCATTGCACCAGCTATCTGCTGGATCGCTGGTGCAATTTTTTCCCACACGCCAAAAAAAAAAAAAATAGTAAATGCTAAATTTTTTCAAAAGTGTTTTTAGAAAAGCGCCACACCCTAAATCTCTAAAGCAGCAAATTCCACTTCAAAAAATCACAAATTTATTTTTTGCTCAAACAAGTAAATATAAGGAATGCGCTAAATAAATACAAAATAAATGTGAAAAATATAAAAAATTATTATAAAAAATGTTCATAAATTATTAAATATTCAAAAAAGTCTTCAAATAATGTTCACACTGTATTGAAGCCACCACCAGAAAAATGTAATCACTCACCAGAGCTCAATGCTGAACAAATAATTGAACTAGCAACAAGCACTTTTTGCTCTGGGGCAATATATAGCAGTCCAGTTCCTGGATGCAATGCTGTGCAAATAAACGAACTCTCCTCGGATAAATAGCCACCATTCAAGGATATAGGTAATTTCCAGGAATAAAGCTCATCTTTCTTTCATATACCTCCATACCATTGGGACCATGTTTAAAAGGTAAGAGAGAAAAATCATGGTGCAGCAAGTTTCACACATATAACAAATTTTTAATGAATAAAACTCACAAAATTTTTTACCTGCAAAAAAATGGGCATTTATTTATTTATTTTTTTGTATTTCAATAGTTTTATTAGTTTTAAGCAGTATAAAACAGAGGCGACAAAACATGCCCCCACAGGGGCTATCAATTGCACCGATAAGATAAAAAACATAATAACAAAAGAAAAACAGTGCTCTAACTTCAACAAGGCAGAAGGTACGCCCACGCAGGGGCTATCAATGGCACATAGGTTACAATGACGGTAATGAAATTCTAACTGCAATTAAAGGCAACTGTCAACTATCACCCAAAAAAACTAACAGAAATGGAAAGAAAGAAAGAGAAGAGAAATAAGAGGAGAGAAAAAGAAAAAAAAGAGAAGAGGGGGCAGAGATCCAGGAGCGCCACCATCAAACGCCAGTGCCTAACGTCAGTACATCCCCATACTAGCCAAAGGAAGCGTGGGAAAGGCATATTGCAACCATGGTTCCCATATTTTCGAGAATTTACATTGGGAGTCGTTGCATATGCTCGACATCTGCTCATTAAGCATCATATTGGTCATACGATCCCGCACCCCCTGAAAAGGGACAAACGGACTCTTCCAGGCCTGAGCAATTGTTCTGGTGGCCGACAGAAACAAATAGGACGCCAGCTTCTGCTGATGAGCAAAGAGACCCGGTATGGGGCAATGAAGCAAGGCATACCGAGCATCCCGGCGTATGGATAGATGAAACAACGTGAAAAGGAGGCCAAATACACGAGACCAAAAACGGACCAGTCTCGGGCATGACCACCAGATATGCAAGACATCGCCACGATGGCCACAACCCCGGTAAACATCGATCACTACAAGCGGGATTAGCCTGGGCCAAACGAGCCGGAACCCAATACCAACGAAACAATACCTTATAGGCTGCCTCCAGCGTGGTGGTATTGAATGAGCATTTAGCTATGAGTGACCAGGCCCTATTCCAGTCCTCCGGATCCACATCCACCCCAGTCACGCTCCCACTGAACAACATATGAAAGAGAAGTATGCGACGGGCGTCTGTTCAAGGCTGCATAAAGAAGGGAGATAAGGCCCGGGGCACCCGGGCGCTGCTGACAAAGCTGTTCAAAGGCCGATTTCTGGTATGGAAAAGAAGAAGTGCCCCGCAGCGAGAGTAGCCAGTGCCGCAATTGAAGGTATCGAAAAAATTCCGCCGGGGGAACATCCCGGGACTCCCGAAGAAGATCCCAGGTAGGGAAGGACCGAGAAACCAAAAAGTGTCGTACCTGCGAAAACCCATGAGCCACCCACCAAGAGAACGCCCTTGGGTGATCTAAACCCGGTGGGAAAAGAGGGTTGTTAACAATTGGAAGCAAAGGCAGAAAGGGTGACATCAGGCCACTGGAATAACGTACCGAGTCCCAGATTCGTAAGCCATGGAGCAACATCGGGCTCAGCGATATAGGGCGCAGGGCAGGGGGAAGCCATAGAAGCGCCGACGGTTGGATAGGGGCACAGTTAGGTAGCTCCAGCAAGACCCAGAAAGGGACGTCAGAGGAAGCGTGCAACATAGACAGCGGGGCAATCTGGCTCGCCTGGTAATACTTAGTTACATTGGGCACCCCAAGGCCACCCTGAAGTCTATGAGCAAAGAGCGTATTTCTAGATACTCTGGGGTGCTTATTGGCCCAGATGAAACGCATAAGCTTCGCCTGAAGCAACCGAAGGAAATGAGGGGGAACCATTTATTTATTTTTTTAAGTGAACTTGTCCTTTAATCTATCCACTGCTACTGTACATGTGCTCCAATTTGAGAGACTCTCCAGCTCATAGTGAAGTTTAAATAGTTTGAACAGACCAAGCTGATACAAACTATTTACTTCACCAAGACGTGCAGCGGCTCTCAGCGTTGTATGAACTGTATGTAGCTTAGCTACATACGCTATACAGCGCTGTGTTCTGGAAGTGGGATGGGAACTTCCCAACCAATAGCTGCAACAAAATTGTGTGGGTACTGAGTTCTGCTCAACCATTCACAGGGAGCTTTTTTTATCGATCTGAGTTGGAAAGGCAGGCAGGTGATGTTAGGATTTCCATCTCAGTCAAGCAGAGGAAGCTTTGTATTCATTCAGAAAATGCAAAGCCCCCTGTGAATGGCTGAGCAGTGCTCAGCCCAACTCACTTTTGTTCCAGCTGTGGGATGGGAACTTCCCATCCCTCTTAGAACACAACATTGTATACTGTATACATACAGTCCATACAGTACTGAGAGGTTCTACATGTTTTAGTGAGGTAAATAAATTATTTGTACCAGCTTGGTCCTAAGGAACAAGTTAACAGTTTGGCGCCGTCGCCTCCCGGGCCTTTAAGAGTTTCAGAAGTCAGGGGGTGGGGTTTAGGGTCATGTGACCACCGCAATTCGCCATCATGGGGGTCACATGATCGGAAAAGGTCCCGATAGAAAGGGGAGATCGGGAGTTGCGGACATATGTGCTTGGAGCGCTCAGGGCGCGCACTCTCAGCACATATGTATTTTCTAATTGCATGCAAATATGCGGCCGCTCGGCATCAAGGCCCAGGCGCCAAGAGGCCGTATATTTGCGTGCGATGGGCGTCAAGGAGTTAAACTTCAGTAAAAGCTGGAGATCAGCTTTTAAGTTTTATCTCCACAAGGACACTTGGTCATTCTTGCAGACACTACCTGACTATGGACCTTGTCATCTGCACTCTGGAACACACCTTCCACAACCTCTGGTTGGGGAAACCTAAAACTCATGGGTTTCAGTAACATTTTGATTGCTGAATCCAGATTGAAAAGTAGATGTTTATTATACACGCATGTAGCTAGAACTACATACAGGGAGAACAAAACAATACAGCATTGGATTCAAAAGTAATGCTCTACCTAGCTAGGGATTTCTAATACAATTTACATGTCCTAAGATGGGGTGGTACCTAGCTAAATGACTGCTTTGAAGTTACATTCTGGTTGCTGGTGGAGTTCGTTGAAATGTAAATAGACATTCACACAAGCATGTTACTTCCCATTACTTCTTTAGATAGCAATCTTCCCAGCTGGAGGTGTAAATAACATTCTAACACAAGAAATACAGCTGTTGCACAAGAAGACTTCTAATAACAAAATATGCATTCAATATATGCATTCCACTTAATCAAAACTAAATGTTGATATATAAAATGGCTGTTCCATTTTCCTTCACAATCCCTCCTCTTGGATATCATACTGTCCAAACAATTACCCCTTCCTAAAAAGAAATTTGAGAAACATATTTGCTATATCAAACAATTCATACATTAGTTGTGAACAGTTGGGTTCTTGACTATTCATAGTGTAGAGGTTCATTTGGTGACAATTAAAGCTATGTAGGTCCTAACTAGATGTGTATATCCGGGATACTGGTAAAATGGAACAATTGTAGGATTACTAGGTCT